TACGGACTCATCCGAAGGCAGAGCTGAGAGCGAGTGGCGAGTAGGCAGAGGAGTGGCCTGAGGCGAGGAGTACGTGAAGCCGAAGCGCTGAAGGACCTGCTGCACCATGTGTGACTGAGTCAGGGTAATGGTGCGGCGTGCTCTGTCCCGGGTGATCTGCAAGCCAAGGTAGCTGCGCAGTTCACCCAGGTCAGTGCACGTGTGTCTCTTCTGCAGCTCGGACTTCACGTAGGCGAGTCCAGCAGTGTCAGCTGTGGCAAAGACCAAGTCGTCGGCGCTAGGGCGGGCGGCCGGCCGTCAGGGCGCTAGGGCGGGCGGCCGTCAGGGCGCTAGGGCGGGCTGCGTTCGGGCGCTAGGGCGGGCGGCCGTCAGGGCGCTAGGGCGAGTGGCGCACGGGCGCTAGGGCGGGCGGCCGTTAGGGCGCTAGGGCGAGCGGCGCTCGGGCGCTAGGGCGGGCGGCCGTCAGGGCTCTAGGGCGGGCGGCGCTTGGGCGCTAGGGCGGGCGGCGCTTAGGCGCTAGGGCGGGCGGCGCTCGGGCGCTAGGGCAGGCGGCCGTCAGGGCGCTAGGGCGGGCGGCCGTCAGGGCGCTAGGGCGGGCGGCCGTCAGGGCGCGAGGGCGGGCGGCCGTCAGGGCGCTAGGGCGGGCGGCGTTCGGGCGCTAGAGCGGACGGCCGTCAGGGCACTAGGGCGGGCGGCCGTAAGAGGAGTGAGCGGCGGGAGCGCGACGGTAGGGGCGACTCGCAGGGTCGCTAAAAAAAAAGAACGCGCGCCTCGGGGCGCGCTTCGGTGGGCCCTAAGAACAGTCCCTAGGAGGGGACCTGCTCTGATTCCATGAGAAGAATTGAACGAGAATGAAATGAGTATGAACGAAGTGAGTACAAATAGGAAACCCTAATTGGGTTGTACCCCCTATGGGATACCCCACTATAGCCTACACAAATAAGTAAGCTATATGTTCTGACATTAACCTTAGGCCCCGTGTCTCCAAACAGGAGACCTTGCCTACCCTACTCTGGACGGGGGAGGTTGGTGATGCGTCAGAGTTCCGGGTCTGGGATTCTTTTAACCTCGTCCGCGATCCTCTCGCGGGCAAGCTCTCTCCTGGCACTCTTTGCTGCATCTTCCTTAGCTTTCCCACCAACGCCCTGCCTTGTCAGTTTTACCACCCGGCCATGCGTCGCATCCTGTTATCTCAAACATCACTTTCGATGAGTGAGTCTCCTTCTACCGGCTCTTCCGCCACCACAGTTTCCCAGTGCCCCCCCTCTTTTCTTGGTTCATTATAACCCTACGGTAGATCCTTCCCCCCCCTTCACGTCCTGCTCCCTCTCTTTGGGCCCCTCCGGCCTGGCTGAGCGAGGTGACTCTGTTGCTGACGACACGCCGGTCTCTTGCTGTTCCCCACGCTTAGAGGCTCCTCTTGGTTTCCGATCTCAGCCGTGTTCGCCGCCTCTATAGCCTGACGCGGTGGACTCAGGTGCTAGTACTTGGGGTGTTACTATTGGGGGTGCTGGTTCTGGGTGTACTGGAGCTGGTGGTGTTGGAGGCTCTGGTGTTGGAGGTACTGTCGTTGCTGGCGCTAGAGGTGATAGAGATGGCGGTGATGGAGGTTCTGGTGCTAGAGGGATTACCGCTGAAGTTGTTGGAGGTTTTGGAGCTGGCGGTGCTAGAGGTAGTACCGCTGGAGGTGCTGGTGGTGCTGGAGGTTCTGGTACCAGAGGTGCTGCCGCTAGAGGTGCTAGAGGTACTCGAGCCGGCGGTACTGGAGGTTTTGGTGAGCAGCAGCCGTCCGCGCTACGCCACCTTCTCAGTCTCCCACCTGCGGCTATTGAGTTCCCTGTCGCTGGTACTACTCCTCCTTTGCTGCTTCCACCGCTTGACCCATCTCACTCGCCGTAGCCTACTGACTTCCCTCTACCTGCTCCTTCACGCTACTCCCTGTTGCCCAAATCCTTGATCGAGCATCTAGAGCCTGAGTCTCGTGCTTTCTCTCCCACTACCTCGCCTATTCGTGCTCGTGCTTCTCGTGCTCGCCGTGTTCACCGTCCTCCTGTTCCCAATGAGCACACTATGGCACGTCGTCCTTCCTGTTGCACAGCGTCCGGTTCTTCCGTTGTCTCTTGAGTCCTCCCTCCCCACGTTCCTAACCCAAAGTCTGACCTTGCTTGTGCTGCTAGTCGGACTGTCATTTGTCTACTAGCCACACTTGTCACACACCCTACGTTTGAGTCTGCTGATGCGTCTTCTTTGGCCATTGAGCTCGTAGACTTAGACGCTGTGTGTCGCCTTAACTACACTGCAAGTCTCGTTTCTGACTCTGACACTGCCTGTCCTCTATCCGTCGGGGGTGGGCTTGCCCTTGGTTATGATGTTCTTGAGGACATGCAGTTTGAGTTGGAGTGCCTTGCGACTACTGTACCTCGTCTCGCTGCCACCCGGGACAGAGCAGATCGCACCATCACTCTGACTTAGTCGCACATGGTGCAGCAGGTCCTTCAGCGCTTCCGCTTTCAGTTCTGCTCGCCACAGTCCACTCCTCTGTAACAAGCCACTCGCTCTAAGCTCCACCTTCGGACGAGTTTGTAGAGCCGAGTGGTCTGTATCCAGAGATTGTGGGCTGCCTCATGTACTTGATGATGTGCACTCGACCTGGCATCACGTACCCTCTCAGCATCATGGCGTGCTACATTGCTCCCGAAAGACTCTACCGAGTACGAAGTCGAGGAGTCAAAAGAGTCGAAGCGACACTATCAACCGCTTGACCAGGACTGATGCAGGCAAAAGCATTTGAAATGAAAAGAGCTACAACGGATTTGAAACGGGTTCCCGCGCCGCACGGTTTGAATTCGTTGTAATGAGGGAATGTATTTCTTAGAGTTCATGGCTAGTCTAGGTCGTTTCGCATTCCTTTGTATTTCCTATATAAACTCAATGTATGCATGCTAATATCATCCGAATCATTTACATTTACTCTGACCTGAGGTCAACACTTCCGCTGAAACACTACTGCGATCAACCATGAAGTCCCATTTGGGATTGTAGCATGGTATGAGTGCTATTTAGGGATTCTTCACAACTTCACTTCAGTGAAATTTGGTGAACCAAGATCTAGCGAGCGGCACACACTCCAAAGCCAAGATGGCTGGAGGACCTCGAGGCCAAACGAATCTGACGGCCGAAAGGCATGCCAACTTGGCTGCGAAAAATGAGGCAACAACTACTATAAGCACAGTTGCGCTCGACCAGTTGTTCTCGAGACTGTCAACTATGGAGAAAGACCTCCAAGCATTGCACAAAGGCGATGTGGTAACCTTCTCGCAACTAGCACAACCTGCTCAACCGGCCACAAACAGCAGTGATACCGCCACGCACACCTTCTCCCTCGACACAGACAAATCAGCAACAATTGCCCCCCGTCCAAGTGATGAAGTCATCAATTCTACGCAAGAACACTTTCTCAACATTTCAAAAATCAAGACTACTGCCGCATTTGACCGCAAGGACTTCTATATATGGAGTTTTGAGCTCAAGCTCCTATAAACGGCGCAGATTTACCATTACTTCGACGGCTCCTATTCTAAACCGATGGAAGACACCGAAGACGCTCGGGCTCAGTACTACAGCGGATCCCTCATGGCGTACAGTGTGTTGCTACGCAATATGACGCCTGCGGAGCAACTCGGCAAACGCTCATGCAAAGAGAGCGCCGCTACAGCCTTGGAAGCTTGGAAGCTCCTTGTTGAGGTATATCAGCCGAAGGACTCAGTCACCTCTAGCAGGCTCCTGCAGCAACTCATGAAGACCACGGGGCACATGGGGAAAGTGAATACATATTTTAACCCCTGTCGGAACATTCGTGACCAGATCACGAAGCATGGAAGCGCGATTTTGGAGGAGATCTTCGTCAACATCGTCCTCGAAGGACCCGGGCCTGAGTGGAAGCCCTGCAAAGCGCTACTCCGACAAATGGGATTTACCTCAGAAGACGCACTATGCACCGCACTCCTAACTGAACAGCAGGACATGAAGTCGAGCAAGACAAGCTCAACGCTGCGTCGAGAGCGCCTCGCCTTCTACACCGACAATCGTGAAGATCGATGACAACGAAGGCGCCACTATTGCAAAATTTGCAAGGTCTTCGGACATTCAACGAATCGATGCAAATCCCGGTCCAACTATCGCCACCCAAATTTCACTTCGAGCCTCAACATCAAGCTTCTTGTCCTCCTGCACAATTGTCAAACACAATTTATATGTGTTATCGCAGTGTAGGCTATAGTGGGTTAGCCTATAGGGGGTACACAACTTTTAGGGTTTCATACTTGTACTGCAATGTTGTCTAGTTCATTCACTTCTTGTTTCTGACATGGTATTGAGAGCTTAGGTTCTAGACTTAAAAGCCCACCGTTCCGCTAGAGGTGCCCTCGTGCGCCCTTTTTTTTTTAGCACCCTCGTGCGCCTTTCCCTTAGTGCGCCCTCGTGCGCTCTCCTCTCACGCTGCCCGTGTGCAGCCCGCTAGCAGCCCGAGCGCGGCCCCGCCGTTTTAGCCGGTGTAGGAAAACTGCCGACTAGGGCGGCCCGATTCTTCTCACGAGCCCTAGCAGGCCTTCGCCTGTAGGCCCTTGCTAGCCTCTAGGCCGACGCGCGACCCGCAGCCGCCCGCCTGCAGGTCGCAGCCAGCACGCCGCGACGATCGCGCGTCGGCTGCTACAGCGCGCGACCCACACCCGCCGCTAGAACGCAGCCGCGGCCCGCGCGCCGCTGCACCCTAGGCGCCACCGCGCACCTAGCCTAGGCCCGCCGTCGCGCCGCCTTAGCTGCCCGACCCGCGTCGCCCGAGCCGCGCCGCCCGAGTCGCGCCGCCCGAGTCGCACCGCCCTAACCGAGCCGCGCCGCCCTGACCGAGCCGCGCCGCCCTACCTGCTGCAACCGCTCCTCCTGCTCCTACTACTACTACTATTTCTACTGCTACTGCTACTGCTACTCCTGCTCCTGCCACTATGGCCAATCCCACTGTTCTCACCTTTGACGCCGAGGGCCGCCCGATTAAGTTCGATGTCTGGCTTGATGACCTTCATCTGTTCCTCCAGATCACTGCCAAGGACAGTGTCTCACTGTACGACCACACGTCAGGCGCTGCTCCCACGCCTCCCGCTACTGCTGACAGTACTGCTCGCTCCCAGTGGCACATTCGTGATGCTCATGCCCGCCTAGCCGTTCGCAGTCACCTGCCGGTAGATGAGTGCGAGCACTTCGGCCAGCATAAGACCGCTAAGGAGTTGTACGACACAGTAGTCGCGCGCTACTCCTCCCCTGCCACTGCTGCTATAGGCCGTCTCTCATTGTCCTACCTCTTCCCCGACCTGTCCGCCTTTACCACTGTAGCTGACCTCATCACCCACCTCCGTACCAGTGATCTCCGCTACCGTGCCGCACTCCCCCCAGATTTCCTCGCCAAGAACCCCCCCCCCCCCCCCCCCCCGATGTACCTCACACTGTACCACCTTGTCACGCGCCTCCCCGACTCCCTTCACACAGTCAGGGACCACTTTCTAGCCCTCTCCCCCACTGACCTCACTCTCGACCTCCTCGAGAAGGAACTCCTAGCAGCTAAGAAGAGCATTGTAGCTGTAGGTGCCTCTCGTGGCGACCCTCGCGCCCCCTTCTTTGAGGGGTGCTCTCCCGTCCCCCTCCTCCCCTCCATTGCCTCTGCTGGTGCTGTCGACTTCCTCAGAGCTGAGGGGGTCAGGGTTGCGTCTGCTCCTAGTGGGAGGCGCAAGGGCGGCAGGGGCAAGGGGGGCAGGGGTGGTGGAGGTGGAGGCGGGGGCGGCGACGGTGGAGGGGGTGGAGGGGGCGGGGGTGGTGGAGGAGGTGGGAGTGGCGCGGGTGGTGGGGGGGTCGGTGGCGGCACAGGGGGTGGTGGAGGCGGCGGTGGTGGAGGTGGTGGGGGTGGTGGTGGTAGTAGTGGCGGCGGTGGAGCGGGTGGCGGGCGCGGTGGAGAGGTACAACGGGGGGGGTTAGGCGGTGGCCAGAGGCAGCAGGAGCAGCGTCCCGGTGAGACTCCCTCGCCCCAGCACCTCCGTGAGTGGTACTCTCAGCGTGGGGGGTCTGGGGGTGGGGGTACTTGCCCGTACGTCATCCGCACATGTGACCGCACTGGCCAGACTTGTGGGAGGTTTCACACGGCACAGCGCTGCTTCTTTTGCCTCGACAACGCCTGGCGCGAGCAGTTCCCTGACGCCTCTAAGCTACCCCACTGGGCTGATCTGCTTAAGAAGGGAATTGATATCTTTGCTCTTGATTATGATACTATCCTTGCTGCTATGTATGCATTGACTATTAGTGTTGAGGGTGACTGTTACCTGAGTGTACCACCCGACCCAGATATTGAGACCGGTGAGGCTGCAGCTCTAGGTGCTAGTGCGTCTGCTGCTCCAAGTCCTGGTGAGGCTGCTGCCCTAGGTGCTAGTGCGTTTGCGTCTGCTGGTACCGCACCTACTGAGGCACTTCACACCTTCACACTGGACTCAGGTGCTTCCCACTGTTTCTTTCGCGACCGCACTGCCCTAGAGCAGCTCCCTAGACCAGTTGCTATCTCCCTGGCTGACCCCTCAGGGGGTCCGGTCCTTGCGACCTCCACCACTGCCCTCCCTTGTCCTGCTGTCCCGTCTGGCACGCTGTCAGGCCTCTACCTCCCCTCGTTCTCTACGAACTTGGTGGCGGGGTCCGCGCTCCAGGACGCGGGTGTTCACCAGTTCACCGCGCTCGTCTCCAGCTCCGCCATCGGTTCCAGTCGGACTTTCCAGTCCTACGTCTGCACTCTGACAGAGGTGGCGAGTTTTCCTCTGACCTCTTGGCAGCCTACTGTGCGGAGCACGGCATCCGCCAGACGTTCACTCTCCCGGCCTCTCCGCAGTAGAATGGGGTTGCTGAGCGCTGAATTGGTCTTGTCATGGAGGTCGCTCATACCTCCATGATCCATGCGGCTGCCCCCCATTTCCTGTGGCCGTTTGCAGAGCAGTACGCCGCGCATCAGCTCAACCTCTGGCCCCGTGTCTCCGTTCCGGAGACCTCGCCTACCCTGCATTGGACGCGGGAGGTTGGCGACGCGTCGGTGTTCCGAGTCTGGGGATGTCGATCCTTTGTCCGCGACATGTTCGCGGACAAACTCTCCTCTCGTGCGGTTCCCTGTGTGTTCTTGGGCTTTGTCCCTGACGCACCAGGTTGGTGGTTTTACCACCCCACCTCGCGCCGTATCTTTGCCTCTCAGTACGTCACCTTCGACGAGTTGATACCGTTTTACCGTCTCTTCCCCTGCCACACTGCCCCGCTCCCCCCCCCCCCCCCCCCCGCCGCTCTTCCTCACCCCAGGTGTTCTGTCGGTAGACCCCCTCCCTCCCCAGGGTGCTACTCCCTCAAGTGTTTCCCAGGTAGACACGGTCGAGCCAGTCGGGGTAGCTGTTGACTCTGGTCCTGCGCGAGGTACTGAGTGTGCTGAGCGTGGTGGTGCTGGGTCTGGGGGCACTGAGACTGGGGGTGCTGAGCCTGGGGGTGCAGAGACTGGGGATGCTGGGCCTGGGGGTGCTGAGACTTTGGGTGCTGAGACTAAGGGTGTTGAGACTGGGGGTGCTGAGACTGGGGGTGCTGAGTCTGGGGCGCTCCCTCTTCACAACAGCTGCGTGAGTGGTACTCTCAGCGCCACAGCCTCCGTCGTGGCGCTGCTGGAGCTGGGGAGTCTGCTGGAGTCGGGGCTGGTGGCCTCGCAGGTACAGTGCCGCAGCCAGAGCCTTCCTCCCCTCACCGGCTACGTGAGTGGTACGCTCGGCGCTGCAGCCTCAGAAGTGGAGCTCCTAGCGTTGAGGTATCGCCAGCTGGAGGACCTGCTGCTGGAGGTACTACTGACACTGGTTATGCTGGAGGTGCTGCTAGTGCTGCTGGAGGTCCTGGAGGTACGGCTCGTACTGCTAGAGGTCCTGGAGCGGCTAGAGGTGCTGCTGGTTCTGCTGGAGGTTCTGGAGCTGCTGGAGGTACTGCCGGTGCTGGTGGAGGCCTTGGAGCTGTCGGAGGTGCTGGTGGTGCTGGTTTGGCTGGAGGTTCTGGTGCTGTCTCTGCTGCTTCCGGGAGAGGTTCATGGCCACGGCCGTACTTCGTTCCCCTCCTTCAGCACGTTCTAGGTCAGCCGCCTCCTCCTAGTCCTCCTCCCTCCTTAGAGTGTCCTCCGTCTGTCCTGTCGCAGTCCCAGCTCCCACCTCCCTCACCACTTCCTGGTCCTTCTCCCTACACTGGTTAGATAGGCGGTCTAACAGAGCGTCATGAGCCTAAGTCTTGTCCTATGTCGCGTCCTGTGTCACCAGCTCGTGCTACTCATACTGGTCGCCGTGGTCAGCGTGAGCGTCCCCCACCTGTGCCTGGCACACACTTTATGACTCTATGTGCACTGCTCCACAGCGTGTCCCTCTGCCGTCTCCTCCTGAGCCCTCTCTTCCTGTCCTTGCTGACGCTGAGTCTGACTCTCTTCGTGCCGCTAGTCCTACTGTCACGCGTCTCCTGGCCACTGTTGTCACGGACCCTTCCTTTGAGTCTGCTGCTGCGTCTGCCCTAGTTGCTGAGCTTGTCGACTTCGCTGCTCACTATCGTCTAGACTACGCTGCCAGTCTTCTTACTAAGTCTCAGTCTGTGTGTCCTCCGTCCGTCGGGGGTGAGTGTGCTCTAGGCACACACGTCCTTGAGGACAAACAAGAGGACCTTGAGTGTCTTGCAGCCGCTGCGCCTCATCTCGTGTCCATGCTGATTGCCCCTGAGGGAGACCTGGATGCTCCAAACATCCCGACCTGCGCTCTTATGCTGAGGTGATCGCGGGTGAGTACTCCTTTCACTGGCAATCAGCCATGGACGCAGAGATGGCTTCCAAGAAATCCACTGGCACTTACGTTGACGAGGTTCCCCCTCCTTGGGCGAACATCGTCAGTGGCATGTGGATTTTCACAGTGAAGCGGCCGCCGGGTTCTCCGCCTCTCTTCAAGGCTCGTTATGTTGCTCGAGGCTTCAGTCAGCAAGAGGGAGTAGACTTCTTTCAGACCTTCTCCCCCACCCCGAAGATGACCACTCTTCGGGTGCTACTGCACGTTGCTGCTCAGCGTGACTACGAGCTTCACTCTCTTGACTTCAGCACAGCTTTCTTGCAGGGCAGCCTGCACGTGGAGATCTGGCTGCGCCGCCCTCCTGGCTTCACTGGGTCGTTTCCTCCAGGTACCCAGTGGAGCCTCCGGCGGCTGGTCTACGGTTTCCGCCTGCTGCCACGTGAGTGGCACGACACACTGAGGACTACTCTTGCGGCACTTGGGTTCGCGCCCTCTACTGCTGACCCGTCGCTGACTCTGCGCACTGACACTTCGCTGCCGCCGTTCTACATCCTTGTGTACGTCGACGACTTGGTCTTTGCCACTGCTGACAGTGATGCTCTTGCCCACGTGAAGTTGGAGCTGCAGAAGAGACACACATGCAGAGACCTGGGTGAACTACCCAGCTACCTTGGCTTGCATATCACCCGGGACAGAGCACGCCGCACCATTACACTGACTCAGTCACACATGGTGCAGTAGGTCCTTCAGCGCTTCCGCTTCACCTGGTCCTCAGCACAGGCCACTCCTCTGGCTATAGGTCACTCCCTCTCAGCTCTGCCTTCGGATGAGTCCGTAGAGCCGAGTGGTCCTTACCCAGAGCTAGTTGGTTGCCTCATGTACCTGATGACGTGCACTCGTCCTGACCTAGCATACCCTCTTGGCCTTCTGGACCGCTACGTGGCTCCTGGCAGGCACCAAAAGGTGCACTAGGATGCTGCAAAGAGGGTATTGCGCTACTTGTGCAGTACATCGGGCATGGGGCTCGTGCTTGGAGGAGGGAGCTCACTTGTTCTCACTGGGCACTCAGACGCTTCTTGGGTTGACGAGCAGGCTACTCAGCGGTCGTCTCATGGTTACACCTTCAGCCTGGGCTCTTTTTCAGTTTCTTGGCGTTCTACTCGCTTGTCTTCTGTTCTCAGCTCCAGTTGTGAAGCTGAGATCTACGCCACAGTCATGGCTGCACAGGAGCTACGCTGGCTCACCTACCTGCTGACCGACTTAGGAAAGCGGCCTAGTTCTCCTCTAGTGCTGTACGTCAACAACAAGGCTGCCATTGCCTTGTGTGAGGAGCACAGATTGGAGCACAGAACGAAGCACATCGCTCTACCTTACTTCCTGGCTCGAGAGCTGCAGCAGTGCGGTCAGCTTCGTCTGCGTTACGTGGCCACTCAGGCCAGCACCATTGATATATTCACCAAGGCACTCCACTCTGGTGATCATCAGCGTTTCTGCACTTTGCTTGGGCTTGTGCCCACGTTTCCTCACTTGCTGTAGGCTTTGCCTGTACTATGATCTCTAGATATACATGCCTGCCTGTTTTCTTTGCTAGGTTGAGATCACCTTGTTGTTTGTACTGCATATATGCCTCTGCATGTGAACTGGCCCTGAGGCCCTTTGCTTGTGCTCGTAGTGTGTGGTGACGTTGTGATCCACCCTGAGCTTGTTTTTCTTTCTTGACTGGTATTGTGACCTCTTCTCTCCCCCACTTTGCTTATGGGGGTGTGTCAAACACTATTTATATGTGTTATTGCAGTGTAGGCTATAGTGGGTTAGCCTATAGGGGGTACACAACTTTTAGGGTTTCATACTTGTACTGCAATGTTGTCTAGTTCATTCACTTCTCGTTTCTGACAACAACAACAACAACAACAACACCAGCAGTTGACACAAGCACCCCAAGCGGGAGCTACCAGAACTGTGATCGCAAACATGGCGACAAGGCGTCGACCACGAGCTGCTACTCCGGACGAAGAGGAGGAACCCGCTGGCGAGCTAATTCAACCTGAAGAAGGGTGGAACAATCCCTTCATAGCAAGACCGGCACCAGCCGATACAACCGCGGGAAAGCTCACCCCACAATCACCAGCGCTTCATTCCTGTGGATGGAGAGAAGATGAATATTTTGAGAAAAGATATAAGGCGACCCTAGTGACACTGTGTCTCGCACTCCTCATGCGCAATAATAACGCCAACCACAACACCTGGTACCTGAACAGCTTCTGCGGCCAACAGATGGTGGAAACCGTTTGTTACATCTCAAACATCAGCCGCGCTCCCGCCACCTACGTCACTGTCGCCAACAACGAGCAACTTTGCACAAACGCACAGGGCATCATCGTACAGCAACACGCACATCACCTTCAATGACGTGCTCCTTGTGCCGGAATTGCGCTGCAATTTGCTGTCTACGGCACTACTCTCTGACTGTGGAGTCATGCTTGCCACAGATCCCTAAACACGCGACCTCATTCTCACCAACACTCCTCCTGACACACCGGTCGAGTCGCATAAATACTTCGGGCAAGCATGATCGCTCAACGAAGTCTACGTACTTGACTTCGACATACCTGACTGCAAAGCATCATCGGACGAGCTAGTGGATCTAGTCCCCCTGCATTTTTCCCACATGAACGTGGAGTCATGGCAGCAATTGGATGGGCGGCCCTGGATCTGCTGCAATCCTCACCCTCGTGACATAAATCTGCACTAGCCCGGACCTGATGGACTCCGCACCACCTACTTCACACCTACAGCAAGCACCACCGAAGATGTAGAGAGGGACCTTGCAGCAATCTAAGAAGCAGAGAGCGTTGAGGCAGAACCAGAAGGCGTGATGGAAATGGAGTTGGCTGTCACCACTAACTACATCTTCGGCACCGGAAACGAAGACCTCGGCACGAAGGAGCAGGAGCGCCCACACCACGAGCTGAAACGCTCCGCTGGATCCTGGAAGGACCAGAACCTTCGACGAAGAGAAGCGCATGCGCCCTTATCCCCGCGATGTCTATCTCACCATGGACAAGGCGTGGAAAGATCTTGACGCATTTGAGGAGCTTAGTGTCAAAGAGGAAGAAGAAAAGGCACAAGCCGAAAGGAAGGAAAGGCTATATCAGGAACCCATCGCAGCAGGATGGGACAAGGATTCGGTGCGACGCGGTGCATGGGGAGATGACGATGGCACTGGAGCAACATGGGCTTTGAGTACTCCTCGCCACAGTCCACTCCTTTGCCTACCGGTCACTCGCTCTCAGCTCTGCCTTCGGATCAGTCCGTAGAGCCGAGTGGCTCTTATCCAGAGCTTGTGGGTTGCCTCATGTACATGATGACCTGCTCTCGACCTGACCTCGCTTACCCTCTTTGCATCCTGGCTCGCTACGTTGCGCTCCGGAGACACCGACCAGAGCACTGGAAGGCCGCTAAGAGGGTGATGCGATACTTGTGCAGTACGTCGGGCATGGGGCTCGTGCTTGGAGGACGGGCTAGGGTTGTCCTCACTGGTCACGCAGACGCTTCTTGGGTTGACGACTTGGCTACGCAGCGGTCGTCACAGGGTTATGTCAAATTCATACTATATAGCTTGTATAGGCTATAGTGGGGAAGACACTATGGGGTACAGTTTCCTAGGGTTTCCTACTTGTACCCAACTTTGTGCTAGTTTATTATTCCTCAATTCTCACATGGTATAGAGCAGGTTCACTTGTGGGAACTTCCTAGGGCCCACCACTGAACTTCGAATTTTTTTTTTCTGCCCTGAGATCGAGTCGCTCCTGACCGAGGCACGCCTAGTGTGCCGCCCTCCCCTTAGCGACCCGTCGCGCCGCCCTCAGCAGCCCTCCCCCTCTCTCACGGCCCCTCGTGACCCCGTCGCCGCTCTCCTAGCGGCCCGTCGCGCCGCCCTCAGCGGCCCCTCCTCCACGGCCCCGTCGCCACCCTATCGCGGCCCCGTCGCCGCCCTATCGCGGCCCCAACGCCGCCCTCTTGCGGCCCCGTCGCCGCCCTATCGCGGCCCCGTCGCCGCCCTCTTGCGGCCCCATCGCCGCCCTCTCGAGGTCCCGTCGCCACTCTATCGCGGCCCCGTCGCCTCCCTCTCGCGGCCCCGTCACCGCCGTTCGCGGCCCTGTCGCCGCTCGTAGCGGCCCTGCTGCCGCCCCTCGCGGCCTCGTCACCGCCCTCTTGCGGCCGCGTCGCCGCCCTCTAGCGGCCCCCGTCGCCGCCCTCTTGAGGCCCCGTTGCCGCCCTATCACGGCCCCTTCACCTCCCTCTCGCGGCCCCGTCACCACCGTTAGCGGCCTCGTCGCGGCTCGTAGCGGCCCTGCAGCCGCCCCCCCCTCTCGGCCTCGTCGTCGCCCTCTCGCGGCCGCGTCGCCGCCCTCTAGCGGCCCCGACGCCGCCTCCTACACGGCCTCGACGCCGCCTCAAATAAGCCGCCCAGCAGCGGAGCCACCGAGCTGCCCAGCAGCAGAGCCGCCGAGCCGCCCAGCGGCAGAGCCGCCGAGCCGCCAAGTAGCCGAGCCGCCCGACAGCCCAACCGCCGAGCCGCCTGACCGCCAAGCCGCCCAGAAGCTGAGCCACCCAGCAGCCGAGTTGCCCAACAGCCGAGCCGCCTAGCCGCCGAGCCGCCCAACTGCCGAACCACCCAGTAGCCGAGTCGCCGAGCCGCCCGACTGCCGAGCCGCCCAGCAGCCAAGCCGCTGAGCCGCTACCAGTCCTACCAACGCGCCCCGGCCCTTCTTACTCGTACTGGTAAGCCCACTACTTGCTAGACCTCTGCACTCATGGCTACCCCCAGTGTTCTTACATTTGACACTAAGGGCCGTGCTGTTGACTTTGAGGTCTGGGTCGATGACCTCCAGCTGTTCCTCTAGTGGGATAGGGAAGACGGCCTCTCTCTGTTCCACCTCACCTCTAGTGCCTCCCCTGCCCCGCCTACTACTGCTGACAGCACTGTTCGCTCACGGTGGGCGACACGCGATGCTGCTCCCCGTCTTGCTGTGCGTCGCCACTTACCGACCACTGAGCGTGCACACTTTAGCAAGTACAAGAGTGCTCAGACCTTGTATGACGTTGTAGTTGCACGCTACTCTTCCCCTGCCACTGCTGCACTGAGCCGCCTCATGCTACCGTACCTCTTCCCTGACCTTGCTGCCTTTCCCACAGTCGCTGACCTCATTACGCACCTCCGCACTAGTGACACTCGCTACCGCGCTGCGCTTCCTGCTGAGTTCTGCGCCAAGAACCCCCCCCCCCCCCCCCCCTCCATGTACATCATTCTCTACTACATAGTCACCCGGCTCCCTGACTCTCTTCACATAGTCAGGGACCACTTCCTCGATGTTTGCCCCACCACTCTCATCGCTGACCTCCTCGAGAAGGCCCTCCTAGCGATAGAGAAGAGCATAGTCGCTGTAGGAGCCTCTCGTGGTGACCCTTGCACCCCCGTCTTTGAGGGGTATTCTCCCTCCCCCCTCTTGTCCTCTGTTGCCTCTGTTGCTGCGACCGACCACGTTGGTTTCAAGTCGGTCGGCACTGCGTCTGCCCCGAGCAGGAAACGCCGCACCTGCAGGGGCAAAGGGGGCAAGGGCACTGGAGGGGCTGGAGGGGGCGGTGGAGGTGGTGGTGGAGGCAGTGGAGGGAGTGGGGGTGGTGGTGGGAGTGGTGCCGGGGGTGGCGGCGGCGGCGGTAGCAATGGAGGAGGCGGAGGCGGTGGAGATGGAGGAGGGAGCGGAGACGGCGGAGGTGGCAGAGGAGGCGGAGGTGGAGGAGGCGGCGGAGGCGGCGGCGGCTGCGGTGGTGGAGCGGGTCACGACTCTGCGCAGAGGAGTGGCTCAGGTGGTGGTCCGCGCCAGCAGCAGCGGAGTGGTGTGACCCAGTCCCCTCAGCAGCTTTGTAAATGGTACACTGCGCGTCAGCGCGGTGGGGGTTTTGGTCCCTGCGTTTACGTCCTCCGTACTGGCGACCGAACTGGAGAGCAGTGCGGAGGCCCGCACTCCACCCAGTGCTGCTTTGGTCGCCTGACGGACGCGTGGCGTCGCCAGTTCCCTGAGGCATCAGAGATCCCTCGCTGGGGAGATCTGACTAAGGCCGGGGTTGCTATCTTTGATCTTGACTTTGATGCTATTCTTGCTGCCATGTATGCTGTTGAGACTAGTGTTGCGGGTGACCGTTACCTGTGTGTACCGCCTGACCCGGGCATTGAGGCCGCTGCTCTAGGTGCTGGTGAGGCTGCTGCTCTAGGTGCTAGTGCGTCTGCTACCTCAGGTGCTCGTGAGTCTGCTCTCTCAGGTACTACGTTGGCTGAGGCCTTACACACCTTCACCCTTGACTCGGGTGCGTCCCGCTCCTTCTTTCAAGACCGCACCACTCTTACGCCGCTCAGTCGGCCGGTTGCAGTCTCCCTGGCGGACCCCTCTGGGGGTCCTGTCCTTGCTAGCTTCTCCACTATCTTACCGTGAGAAGATAACTACTACAACGGGAGCTTAGAGTACTGGCTAGGCACGTGTGCTCGTGTGATGTCTGCGTTCGTTGGTCCTTAGACGTTTTCCTAGTGCTCACACTGGTTGCTAGTTTACGGGGCAATTTGGCAAGAGTTTTACTAGAGAAAGTTGTCAATAATGGTACAATGAAGTTGGCAATGCAAGACTACATAAGAGCTAGCATTCAGGTTGGTCGACTGCCAGCACAGCATGGTCGACCGCGTTCCAGCACGACTTGGTCGACCACGCTACAGCAGTGCAAAGTCGACAGCTTGCCAACGCTGCAGGTTGACGGTGTGCCAGCATTGCTCACGCAGGACAGCAGTGCACCCGCTTTGCAGGTGCGCGCAGATGATTGGCATGCAAAGTCTCGTCACCTGCACAGCGCACACACCACGTCAACCTCGGGCTAGCGACTGCCTCTGATCCGCCACGTCGACCTCGGGATACCACCATGGAGGTTGGTCTCGCCAACTTCGCCTGGGTGACCGTCGCACTCCTTCGCAGAAACTCGTCACCCAGGTATCCTGGTCGACCGGGCAACTATGTCGACCAGCTGCTCCTGTATGTGCTCGTCGACCTCCCAAGTCGACAACCACACCAGGTCGACCTCACCAGGTCGACCACTCCTCCGGTCGACCAGATCCAGGTCGACGTCACTCCTGGTGGACCAGTGCAGTTGTCAGCTACCCAAGTCGGCGTCACCAGGTCGACGCCCCTTCTACGTCGGCGCCGACTTCCAGACTGACCTCTTGAAGTTGGCGACCTCCCAAGTCAGCGCCGACTTGCAAAGTCGGTGACCTTGCAAGTCGGTGACCTTGCAAGTCGGTGACCTTGCAAGTCGGTGACCTTGCAAGTCGGTGACCTTGCAAGTCGGTGACCTTGCAAGTCGGTGACCTTGCAAGTCGGTGACCTTGCAAGTCGGTGCCGACTTCCAGGTCGACATGCCACATCGCCGACCACCAGTTGAAGTCGGCCGCTGGCTTCCCAAGTCGGCGGTATTGCAGTGGCGCCGTGCAAGTCGACCAACCCCGTCGACCAGCTCGTCCAAGTCGGCGTCGCCCACTGCTGCAAGTCGGCTGTACCTTCCGTACACCCCACCACGAAGTCGGCTCCGCCCAAGCGTGGACGGGGCCAACACACAACTCCCGTTGACACTCCCCTGCCGCGTTCACGCTTGGCCCCCCCAAGTCCACTCGGCAGTACTCCTCGGAGAATAGCTCGTCGACGTGCACCCAACAGACAGCACGTCGTCCACCGCACCAGCCATGCAAGAGGGCATGGCACCTACTGCTGCACGTTGTCATCTTCGTCGCCCACGTCGGCCAAGCGCACCTGGCCGATGGCGATGGAGCACCGGTTGAAGGCCGGATAGTGCAGCACCTTCGTCAGGAAGTCGGCCGGCTGCTCAGTGGTCGGGATGTACCTCAGCGAGAACTTCCCGCGCTTCACCATGTGCTGCAGCCAGGCCTGTCGCCGCTCCATGTGCTTGAGGTTGCCCGTCAACCCCATGCCCTCGACGACTGTGATGGCCGACTTGTTGTCCACCCGAAGGACGGTCGGCTTCCCGACATCCAGCTGCCGGAACTCTGCAAGGAGGAAGCGAAGTCGGCTTCCTTCCTTGCCGGCCTCGGTGGCTGCCACGTACTCCGACTCAGTCGATGACAACGTCGCACACTTGATGCGCTGGCTCGACCAGGAGACTGCGGCCCCTCCATAGACGAACACGTAGCCACCCGTGCTCGTCCTATTCTGCTTGTCACCGGCGTCGTCGGCGTCCACGTAGCCGACCAGCTCCAGCGACTCAGGTCCACCGCCGAACTCCAATGCGGTGTCGCGCGTATTGGCGAGGTAGGCGAGGCAGCGGTCGACCTCGCGCCAGTGCTGGTCGCTCCTCACCGTGAGGCCGCTCCCCAGCTTGCTGCAGGCGAAGGCGATGTCCGGCCTTGTCGTCGTTGCCGCGAACTGCAGCGAGCCGACCTTCTGCCGGTACTCCTCTTCGTGCCGCTCCTGTGCCTCCTCGTCATCGAACGTGAGCTCGGCGTAGGCATCGACCGAGACCGGCGTCTTCGGGGTGCGCCCGGTCTGCTCCTCGTCGATGAAGCGCCTACGAAGCTTGTCGGCATAGACCTGCTGGTGCAGCCACAGCTTCCCCGCCGACCTGTCGCGGACGATCTCCAGCCCGAGGTACTTCTGCACCGGCGAGATCTCACGCAGCTCGAAGGCGGCTTCCAGAAGTTCCTTCAGCTCCTTCAACATCGCGGCGCTACTGCTGGCGGCAAGTAGGTCGTCGACGTAGACCAGCACCCAGCAGGCCACTCCGTCCTTTCCGTCCTTGAAGTAGAGAGCCTCGTCGACCTGGCTCTTCTTCCACCCGACGCCGACCAGCACGTCATTGAGCGCCAAGTACCATAGCAGCGGCGACTGCTTTAGCCCGTACAGGCTCTTCAGCAGCTTGCACACCCGGCCGGTCCCGTCGTTGAAGTAGTCCGGCTGGGACATGTAGAGCACCGTGTCGAGCTTGCTCTGCAAGAAGGCGTTCTTCATGTCGAGCTGCATCAGGTTGAGGTTGCGGACGGCGACGATGCTGAGGAAGATCCTCAGCGTGACGTAGCTGCCCACCGGCGCGAACGTCTCGTCGTAGTCGGCGCCATACACCTGCGTGAAGCCCTTCACAACCAGCCTCGCCTTCTCGCGCTCGACGGTGTCGTCGACGTGGTACTTCGTCGTCAACACCCACCGGTTCTTCATGACGTTCACTCCCGGCGGACGTTCGACCAACTCCCACGTTCCCATGTTGAGGAGGCTGCGAATCTCCTCCTCCATGGCGGCCTTCACCGCCGGGCCCTTCCAGCTTGCCAACGCCTCCTTCACCGTCATCGTCGAGATGTCCCAACGGTGCTCGGGGTCGGCTAGCATGTCGGGGTTGAGCTCTGGAAACTCCTCATCCTCCTCGGCATCGTCGTACAGCAGGTCGTCGGCCTCATCGTTTACGTCGTACACTGTGGTGAAGGCAGCGGGGACGAAGAAGTCAGGCGGTCTCCGAAGTCGGCCTGAACTCTGTGGTCCTGGCCGGACCTCCTCGGCGTCCCCTCTATCGTTGCTGTTGTCGCTGCCCTCGGCGTCCTGCTGCTCCTCAGCCGGCGTCCCAGCCGACTTCTCTCCTATGGTCGGCTCCCCTGCCGACTGCCCGGTCGCCGACTGCTCCTTGGTCGGCGTCACTGCTGCCTGCTCTTTTGTCGGCCGCTGGTCCTCGACCTGCTTCTCGACCTGCTCCTCCCCTGTCCACGTCGACTGCAATCCCACGTCGACCTGCCGCTCGTCACGTCGGCCACCGGCGATGCACTTGGCCGAAGGCGACGTCCCACTACTCCCCTCATCGCCGGAGGCCGACACCGAGGTCAGCCCACGCAGTTCGGCCACGAGGGGAGGGGCAGGGGTCGGAGGGGGAGGGGTAGGGGGGCGGACGTCCTCGACGTCCGTAATAGCAAGCTCACCGACCTCGGCAAGCAGTGGCAGCGTCGCCGACGAGGTGTCAGAGGGCGGGGTGGGCGACGAGCGGCCGGACACCGACCCGTACTCCGTCTTCCACTCGGCCAGCGACAGCTCCTCGTAGAACACCACATCCGACGTGGTGACCACCCGGTCGGCGTCGACGTCGAGGAGCTCCCAGCCCTTCCTCGCCGCTGACACGCCAAGGTGCAGGCCCCACCTGGCCTTCGGCTGCAGCTTCCCACCACGCTGCTGCTCGGTGACTAAGAACTGCGCCATGCAGCCCCACACCCGTGCCAGCGACAAGTCGGGCTTCTTCCCGGTCAGCAGTTGGTACGGCGTCGTCCCCGGCGGCAGCGCCGACCTCTCAAGGCAGTTGCGGACCCAGACGGCCTGCCGCAGAGCGAGGTGCCACCAGTGGTGCTGCACGCCCATGTGCAGCAGCATTGTCCGCACCGACTCCACCACCGTCCTCATCTCCCGCTCCGCCATGCCGTTCTGCTGCGGGGTGTATGGGCAGGTCAGGTCGTGGACGATCCCCTTGCCGTTCACGAAGTCGGTGAACTGCTTCCCGAGGAACTCCCCTCCCCGGTCAGAGCGCAGCATTAACACCGACCTCTTCGTCTGCCGCTCAGCCACTGCCAGCCACTGCACGAACGCCGGCAACGCATCTGACTTCTTTGTGACCGGCTTCACCCACACGTAGCGGGTCTTGCGGTCCTTCAGCAACAAGAAGTACAGGCTGCCATCCTTGGCAGCCACGCGGAATGGCCCGCACAGGTCGATGTGCACGACGGCCAGCACATCGTCGGCGTCGGAGCCTTGGTCGGGGAAGGTGTGCCGTGCCAGCTTCCCGCCGACGCACGAGACACACGGGGAGTCGGCGCCCGTCGCCGACTTGGGGTCCAGCCCAATGGCGACCTCGTTCTTCGCCGAGCTCCGTATGGTGTCCATGCCGACATGTGCAAGCCGGGCATGCATACGGTCCGGCGTCGACTTCGTCTTCGAGACGATCGCCCGCAGAGCCACAACCTCCGTCGTGGGCGACGTCGACCTCGTTGAGCAGGGACGCAGGTCGGTGCAGAGGACACGCCCGGAGTACGTCGCCCGACCGAGCACCTCTCCCGTTGCTGAGACGAGCACCATCCCGTCGCCGTCCTCTTGCAGCTTCACGCCGTGCTCCTTAAGCTGGCCGGACGACAGCAAGTTCGCCCGCACACCCGGGACGTACAACACGTCGGGGATAAGCACCTGCTTCCCGGCCTCCCCTTGCAGGGCGACGGTGCCGCTGCCCTGAACGTCCTGCAGCGCCCCATTGAAGCCGCGCACGTGCTTAATGGAGCCACTCGGCTGCAGGTCAACGAAGGCTTCCTTCGTTCCCATCAGGTGGTGGGAGCAACCGCTGTCGAGCAGGACCACCGCCGGGTTCGCCTGCACAGCCGCCGCCACCGCCTGGAAGTCCTCTCCGGCCTCCGGCGCCAGAGAGA